TTGCCTTGGACCTGTTGGAGCCAGCGGTGGAGTGGATTGCAGACAACCCACAGGACGGCCACAGCCGGCAGCTGCTGGAGCTGGTGCTCACGCGCGCCGCACACCATTACGCAACGCTGGCCAAGCTTGCGTTGCAGCGCGGGAAGTTTGGATCCACCGTCCGCTTTTGTGACCTGTGCCTGCGGTGCCGCACCGGCGCGCGCCGAGCAAGCACGTGGTATGACGGTGGTGACGGCGGAGGTCAAGGTGCTGATGGGGATGGTGACGGTGCTGATGGGGATGGTGATGACAACGGAAGAGCTGGAGGCGATGGCAGTAGTGGTGGTAAGCTGGAAGGTGGTGAGGGGGGGGAGTGCAGCGAGCAATGATAGCAGAGTCAATGGCGCGGGTGATGAACAGCTGGAGAGCAAGCGCAGCGGCGATGCATCAAGGGCTGGTCGACAACACGTGGACGGCCACCAATCGCGCACCACAACAACGACAACCACGACAACACATTCGACAACAACAACGGCAACACATTCGACAACACATTCAACGACAGCACATTCGACACAATCGCCATCGCGATCGCGATCACCACCAACGCCGCCACCAGCAGCGGGCCCCATCATTGCCGTCAAGGCGGCAGAGCAGCTGCAGACACACGTGAAGCAAGAAGACGACCTGCTTGGTAAAGTGTTGCCGCTGGCCGCACACGCGCTCCTGGCGCTTGCGGCGCTGCACCACGACGCACCCCAGCACCTTCCCCAGCAGATGGCAGAGGCAACATACCGCACACGGCAGGATGCGGCTCTGGCGCGGTGGGACACCACCGCCACATCCTCCACTACCTCTTCCTCCACTACCTCTTCCTCTACTACCACCACCTCCTCCTCTACTACCACCACCACTACCACCACCTCCTCCTCCACCTCCTCCTCCACCTCATCATCATCATCTTCTTCTTCTTCTTCTTCTTCTTCTTCTTCTTCTTCTTCTTCTTCTTCTTCTTCTTCTTCTTCTTCTTCTTCTTCTTCTTCTGCAGGGAAAGGGGGCGGGTGTGGGCATGTGGTGCCGACGAAGGAGGTGTGGCTGCTGCAGGGAAAGAGGGCGGTGTGGGCATGTGGTGCCGACGAAGGAGTGTGGCTGCTTGATTGAACGCGCGCGTGTGATGTGACAGCTCCAGGGCCACCACCAGCATGACAACAGCCGCTGCAGCAGCGCACCGCGACAATAA